AAAAAAGTTTATGCAATTTTAATCATTACTTGTGCTATAATTCATCCTTAAAATTTTTTAAAAATTTGACAAAAAAATTGTTACCCGGATACTTTTGGCAGGTTGGTGTATATAAAATTTACTAATTGAATAACTTCCTATGCCGATCCCTGACATGACCACTAGCTGATATAATAATATTACTTTTATCAAGGACAGTTATATCAATAAAGATAGGTTTACTAAATTTAGCTTTTGATTAATGACAAGAAATATTTATTAAATTCTATGCAACTTATGATTAGGATCAACTATTTACTTTTTAAATTTTTTTAATTCTTCTTCTGGTTTAACAAAATCTATTCTTTGATATTTGCATATATTCTCTACAGTCTTTCTATAATTTGCATTACCAAGGAGTTTATATATATTTTTTTCAAAATCATTCTTAACTAAAGCTTGGGATCTTATTAATTCTTCTATAAAAAATTTTATCCATGAGCTTTGGTCAAATTTTATAGCTTAATGAATTTTGGTAAGTACCATTTCTTGTTTTATATAGAATTGTAAAACTTGATAATAGACTATATACTTCTTTTTATTATTGAAATTGAAAACAAATTTTTTAGTTTTTATATAATGTTTTAAATCATTAATAATCTCTTGTTTATACTTACTCATTTCCTTTTTGGAAATCTCAATATTTTCAGGAGCTAAAGAATATAAAGTATGAGTTTTGTGTAATTTATATAAATAGTCAAGGACTACTTCAAGAATATATTCCTTAGATGCATTGACAGAGATTTCACACTTACTAATTTTATTAAAAAAGGACTGGAGTTTCTTCTGGTGTTGTCTATCTATATTCTCCTGTTGACATAGCTTGCATCATTGCTCCAGTATATAATGCATTGGCATCAATATATAATAGTCAAGTAAAGAGCTTTTCATTACTTCTTTTGAGTTTGGATTAAAATTAGGACATTGAGAATTATTAGCTTTAACTTGAAGATAACTTACCATTGTAATACCTTTCTTACAGAAGAGATACATATTATCATCAGTAAATAACTCTATCTCTTGTCCTGTAGTTTTATATAGAGCACCTTCTGCAAAGGAAGGAAGAGATACATAATGAGATATATCAAGATCAATTTACCTTTCATTAATTTTTGAAATCCTTCTAAACAATCTGCTAATAATAGCACATTGAGATTAAGATAAAAGTCATGATAATCTCTGAATGTTTTCATATCAAAAGATTTCCATACCTCTTGTGCAATTTTATAAGCTTTTTCTAAACATTTAGATTTGTTAAGAATACTATTAAAAGCTTCAATAGGAGGAAGTGAAGTATTATCCATTTTTTCTGATGTATTAAACCAATCATATGGAAAAGGAGCTTTACAAAATACTAAGTTATCCTTTCTTTTTGGCCCATGTTTTCTAGTTATGGGAAATCTCTCTGGATGAGCAAAACATCTATTAGAATCAATTCGATAAAGATGATCAGGCTTTTTACATGGTAAGTCTAAAGAATTTCCATCTTCATCTATTTTTTCTTTACATGGTTCGGACCATTTCAGATCAACGACTAAGTTATGTAATAACATAAAAAATGTATTAATAAAGTATCAGTTTATTTTTATATCGGACCACTATTATTAATACATAATAACGGAGAAAATAAAATTTATAATAATATCCGTCATCAAAAACATTACACCCATATCATCTGTCTCAGATATATTTACATTTGCTGAGGTTACTTATCTCATTTTCTGGTAAAGATTTAGATGCAGTAGCATCCTCACTTCGTGAGATTTCTTAATTATCATCATGTAAACTTATTCGCCAAGATCGTCACTCACCTGATTCAATCATGTACCTATTTGAACAGTATTACGTAATCAAATAACATATGAAAATTAATATATAATACGGCATCTGCCGCAATACATTATAGTTATAGGTATTAATTAATATTTTGAAAGAAAAATAAAATATCCAGTAATTTATGTACAATTGTTGCCTTGCTCGATCAAACTTAAAAAGATTGACATCTGACATATCTTTTCCATTTTTAAAAAAAACGCCGAGACTTGAGAATCATGTGGTGTGTGACATATTACCCCTTCTCCCGAAATTTAATAAATTTAATAAAATTAATGAAATCAATGAATTTCAGTGTTCGGAACATTCATTCACTTGTTTTGTTATTATTTATAGTTATTTATAATGGTTGTGGAAAGTATAAAGAATTTTGACATGACCTTTACTCAAATTTCGGTCGCTTTTATTCTATTAGTTATTATAAGGTCTTGGTATAGTACAAAATCACAATTTTTGGTAAAGGCACTTATTAGCCTTATTTTCGGACTAGTATTTTCAGTTTACGGAAGTATCATTTCCATTATCTTTACATTTATTGGGAAGCGAGGTCTAATAAATTGGGTTACGGCACGTGGATACGCATATGTTGCAGGCTCGGCAGTTGGAATATCTTACAAAGTAGAGGGCGAAGAGTATCTTAATACTGGACGTCCCGCAATTTACATATGTAATCATCAGTCTGCAGTAGATTTATTTGTACTGGGAAGAATATTTCCTAAAAATTGTGTTATAGTTGGGAAATCATCATTAAAATTCGTACCACTGCTGGGAATATTTAGTAAGTAAAGTGATTTAACCTTTTTAACAAAATAATATTGTGGAAAGTAGTGATCGCTTACAATTTTGTGAGTATTGTCATGGTTAAAAATTGGACCTTTGTCCTTTTTTGCCTTACCTATATAGATGATCTCAAAAAGAAGTCTTTCTATGTCCAGCTTTGCTAGAATACAATTATATTTTGGGGTTGAATTTCTAAAATTTTTTTGTTTAAATCTATATTTTAATAAAGTTCCTATTCAACTTTTCCTAACAAATAATTTTGATCGATTAATTATTTATGATGATGTCAAATAGTGATTCTTGGTCGAGCGGTATTTCTCGATCGAACTAATAAAAGTGGCGCCATAAATGCTTTGTCTAAAGCAGCCCAAGATATTAAGGAACGCAAGGTAGAATTAACGAAATTAATGAGCATAATATAATATATATCTAATAATATAATCATAATAACGTAGTCATTTTGGAATATTTAGACGAGTGTATTCATCTTTCCCGAAGGGACACGTGCTCGATTAGAAGAAGCTGATTTGTTGCCATTTAAAAAAGGAGCATTTCATATGGCAGTACAAGCAGGAATTCCAATAATTCCAATTGTCGTCGCAAATTATAGTGAAATTTATAATTCAAAACAGCGGATTTTTCGTAGTGGACAGCTTCGCATTAAAGGTAAATCCATTCCTCAATTTATATTTCATTATATTTCATTACATTTCATTAATTTTAATAATTCACGATAATCTACAATAATTTTTAATAGCTTTACCACCAATTGAGACTACAGGCATTAATGTAGATGATAAAAATGAGATTGATGCTTTAACGAAAAGAGCACGTGACATAATGCTAGATACTTTAAAAGATATTACACTATCACATTCGTAAGGAGGAGATAAAACAATTTTATTTAATAATACTAATACAGTATATCTTTATTTTTAAATTTATTACATTAATATAAAATTCATTTACAACAACTTATTCCTAAATCATTTTTTAAATTTTTTTTTTTTTTGTTATGTTTTGATTACCTTTAAAGTTTCGCATAAACGATTCCCCCATGTATTGTACCCTGGAAGAACACATTATATGAATTTTCCTGGGCATTGTATTACATTTATTTTTATATTCTTTTAATTTCTAGTTCTATTATTATTGTTACTTTTGAAACCTTCTTTTATTATATTTTTTGTTTGAAACGATAATAATATTAGAATTGCTTAGTTTTTAGAAAAATGAGATAATATATTCAAATTACGCAATGCAAGATAATTTGTGTGTTTGTACTTTATGTACATTTTTTATTATTGTAAATATTTTGACTAGCTTATAAAGTAATGTCCGTTAAAAACCCATGAAAATAAATTTCTTAAATCTTTGACAGAAAATAAGAAGAATTGAATCTATATTTTATGTTATATAATTAATTTAATAAATTTAACCCACGTATTGTTTTAGGATACACACCTTATATTTAATAAATGCCAATAAATGCCAATAATTGTAATAAAATGTCAATAAAAATCAATTGTAATAATGAAATTAAATATATCACTGATGATATAAAGATTATAATAAGAATGGAATTTTAAGTTATTATTGTTCCCATTTTTCCCAGTGTTATTATTATTATTTTTTTTATATTATTACTTGTTCATTTTATCTTTTCCCTATTTTCCCTCCAATGATAGGAGGAGGTGGAGGAGGCGCACGTTGTGGTGAACCTTTAGATGTCAATGCAGATAAATCAAACGGGATTGCTATATGAAAATCAAAATATGAATTAATATAATTAATATAATGAATAATAATTTGAATCTATTTTGAAAATAGTATTTGGTATAGTATAAATTTAAAAATACATACAACTTCCCGTTTTTGCTCCTGAAGGATATATTTTAGTGGAATGAGTGACCTTTCCGGGTGGTGGGAAATCACTCGATGTATGAAACGACCAGCGTCCTTCGGTCGTTGAAGGTTCTGGAGCTGTAAATACTGATATTTGAATCAAAAAAAGAAATTATGAATATAATCGATAATGCGAATAATTGATAATTTGAAAAAAATAGATAAATAGAATACCTTTTGATTTTGATGGACTAAGAGCCCTACGTGCATTTGTTCCATTTGTTGGAGATGAATTAGGTCTTTGCTTATCTATTACTGATAATGGAGAACGAGCACGAGGTTGTGGTGGAGGTGGAGACTGTGAACGTTGTTGTGGTCGTAAAGGAGGTGGGGGTGGTGACGCTGACTTTGTAGATGTATTTGCAGATGTATTTGATGGTTTATTAGGTGGTGGAAGTGGCTTTTTATTTGTTGGTGGTGGTGGAGGTGGTGGTGCCCTTCCATTTCGTGAAGGTTGTCGTGAAGGTTGTGATGATGGTTGTGGTGGTGCATTCCGAGAAGGTAAGGGTGGAGTTGCTTGTGTCGTTATACGTGTTGTTGATGGTGGTACTGGAGGTGCTTGAGTCTTAGTTGTACGGGAAGGTAATGGTGGTGGATTCGATGCAGGTGATGTTAAATTATTTGAGAAAATTTTTCCATGACTTTTATTTCTGCTTGGTAAATTTGGTATATTACCACTGGGAGGTGAAGGAACAACTGTTGACGGGCGGTTATTACCTCCACTAGATGCCCTTGGACGTCCTCCAGGTAAAGGTGGTGGTGTTGCTAAACCTATAGATTAATAAAATAAATAATTAAAAGCTTAGTAACGTGTGTCAAAAAAAATTTTTTTTTTGGAAATTTTGTATAGACTTACTATCTGAATCTTGTACATTTCGACTCTTTAACTTTGGAATACCGTGTGGAAATAAGCCGCCAATTCCAATTTGCGGAGGTGTTGGATTGTTATTTCCTGCTGAACTAGAACGGCTTCGCTGACTACCACCACTACTTTGCACATTTGTGGAAGGTTTATCTATTTTATTTAAAAACAAAGTCAAAAGATTAGTTTTAATAAAGTTTGAACATTGCAGAATGAGTAAGTGCAAAAACTTACTATCTATAAGTGGTGCTGATCTGTCATTTGTCACTGCTTTTTTTAACCTTTTCCCTTTTTGAATATCAGAAAGTAAAGCATTGAGAGGTGCAGGAGCAGCTGATGCAGCTGGAGGTGGAGGAGGTGGTGGTGGTGGTGGTAAAGGCATTTTTAAGAATATATCAGAGAGAAAAATTGTTACTCATTTATATATTTTTGTCCTGTGGCACATGTCTTATGATATTATTGCCGATTCTTCCGATTGAGTTAGCCAAACTCTTTTTCTTCGTTAAAACGGTTAAACATGTCTACTACATCGAATAAAATAACAATTTCTATATTAAGTGAAATTTTAATGTTAATTACACCTTTTTTTTTTCTCTCATTTTTGTTAACAGCTTCTCCGTCTTATATTTCATCCGCAAAAAAGCAAATTCTTTCAATTCCTTGTATTATATTTCTTTTTTTAATTCCAGTTAAATTTACTTGTAACAATCTTTATTTAGAAACGTTTTTATCTACAATTATTATAGCTTCTTGCTTTCGTTATGTTGACTTATTTTTTGTTGAACCCTTTATGAAAAATGTAGAGATATACAATTCTTTACAACAAATAAAATTTGACATATTTCGATCATTTAGAAATTATCGACAACATGAAATACATGTTCAAAACAAAGCCAAGAATAAGAAGAATAAGCTGACATCTTTCTCTCTTTTGCCCTCTATTATTATGTATTCAATGATCTCAGGGGGATCCTACCTTTTTTTGCAAAATTTTACTCCTGAATCAATTTTTTCTTTACCACGATATCAGTCTTTACTGTTTAACATTTATTGTGCCTTACACATAGAAATTAATATGGAAATAACAAATCGATTAATGATTTTTTTTTCAACTCTTTTATTGTGTGGTGGCGAATATCACAAGGAAGAATGGCCTTTTATAATTAATAAACCATTTTTGTCTACATCATTAACTGACTTATGGTCAAATCGCTGGCATCAATTATTTAGAGAAATTTGGATTTCATTAGCATATAGACCATTGAGAACTTTTATAAGAAACAAAATTATTCCTTTATTAGGTCAAAAATTTAAAAAAATTGGAGAATTATTTGATAAAGTTATTCCACCACTTGGAGTTTTTGTACTAAGTGGATTGTTTCATGAATATATAAATTGGACTGTTACATATCAATATTGGATTCCAGGTGAACAATTAACATTTTTTGTTTTACAAGGAATTGGTGTAATTATGGAAAAATTGGTTAAACAATCAATTCCATCTCTCAGAATTCCAAAATGGTTGGGTTGGATTTGGACATTTGTATTCATTTGTTTGACAATACCTTACTTTCTAAATGTATGGATTAAAGCTAATCCATGGTGATAATGATCCAAAGGATGGCTTGGATATTTTTGACCAATAGAACTTTATTAATATTAAAAATTCTTTATCAATAGAATAAATTATTAAAAATATTTTATCAATAAAATAAATTATTTAAAGTTCTTTATCAATAGAATAGATTATTAGAAATTATTTGTCAAATAGAACAAACTATTAAAGTTCTTTATCAATAGAATAAATTATTAAAACTTTGTAAATTATTTAAAGCTCTTTACCCAATAGAATAAATTATACTGTATGTTGAATATAAGTCCTTTGTAATATATATATATATATATATTTTTTAAAAAAAACAATAATATATATTTAAATATTTTTTGATGTACTTTAACAATATTATACAAAAGGAATTAAACTGAATCAAATTCAACCACTTTCTAAATATTCTAAATATAAATAATTTTTTTTTTACAAATCAACCAAAAAAAATTTCGAACCATTATAATATGAACTACTTTTATAGAATACCATTAGAATAATACTGAAAAGTATCATATAAACGAGTAAATACATTACAACAACTTTGCATTATCAATTTTTCAACGAACTCTTCGAATTGAGGTTCCGTGAGAGATAGTAGAAAACGATCCTTGAGAAGAGAATGTGTCATATCACCCGAAAGGAAGCAAGGAAGTTTTGAATCTAATAATTTAATTTAAATAATTGAATTTCAAGAACCACACAACAAATCTCTTCCAAAATCATATAATTAAAGAAAATACCTTTGGACATCATTTCAACCAGTAAAACAAAATTATCTGCATGCTTTCTTAATGCGACAAAGGCTTGTTTGAGCAGAGTCTTAAATTCTGCGAATTTTTCACTTGTTAATCCACCCAAAATGTCTAAATATTCTTGTGAAAGCTTAAATGGTGCTAATTCAAAACCAACAGAGCCAGGAGAATTTGATAACATAAATCCAAAATCAATGTCTGTGATTTTTATTGTATAAACAAATAAAAAACGGATAAAAACAAAATAAGTAAATAATTCGATCGGTCGATTTATTCTATTCAATTTCTTTAATTTTTAAATAGTACTTACGTATTAAGTGACCTTCTGTGTCCAAAAGGACATTACCATTATGACTGTAACAATAATTTAAATAATTTAAAGAAATTAACCGAATAATTGAAAATAAAATAATAATAAAAAATTATTTAGTGGAATGAATATTCAACACTCTCGTGATAAATCTTACCGATCCTTTACTTGTAAAATATAACATACAAGTGAATATGCGGCTAAACTTCTCATGAAATTATCTTGAGCACGTAAAAATGCTTCAGACGAAACATCTCCATATGTCTTGATAAAATAAATAAAAATATATATATATTTATAGGAAATCTCGAGCATGAATAAAATCATAAATAAGGATATAAAACAAATTGGGGAAGAAATATTTCATATTACATGTAATAACTCTAACCTTTACAAAATAATCAAACAAGGTGAACATGAATCCTTTTTCATTTAACCTTTTCGCATAAGCATCTTTTTTAATTGAATGAATTGAAATCGAGTTTTGAATTGTTTCTATCAGACCAGAATTATCGGAAGTGACAAGCACTCGATAACTAAAAATAATTGAAATATATTATATAATAAGAATGATAAAGATTTAATAAATTAATATTTAAAATATTTTACTTACTATTTAACCCACACATCAATATCAGCTTTTTGCCATATTCGTTGCATTTCTCGAATTAATTGGCATGCTAATTGTTCTTGACGTAAATCTGCACCTGTCTTGACTATTACAGATATTAGACGCCAGTTTGAATGATTGCCGAAAGGTGATGATTTTCGAATACGTTCCTTTTTAGTTTCCCATTCTTCACTGAAAACAGCCGCTATAAATACCAAAATTACTAATTAAATTTTTTTTGGAAGATAATAATAATTTTAAACCACAATATCTTTTAACTATTCGCACCACTAGGATCATCTTTGTTGACGGCACTCAAAACTCGTGTTTCATCTTCCAACATTTCACCACCACCCCCTTCACCCCCATTTGCACCAACACCACTGAGAACTCCTTGAGTTTTCATTTTCATCATTCTTTCTTCTTCCAAACCCATCATTTCATTTATTATCTTTTTTCGTATTGCTTCAGTATCTGCTTTGGTTCTTTGTATAGTCTCACCAGTGGGGGAAGTTCGTGTTTGTTGAGCTACATTCAATTGTGCGAGCATAACAGCTGCCGTTCGCATTCTTTCGGCAAATTCATCAGCTGAATTAGATTGCCTTCGATTGATAACTTGTTTTAAATATTGACTGTTAGATTCTGGTAATGTTGGTGTGGTAGGAGTATAGGGAACAGGTGATTTATCAGTTTTATCAGTTTTATCAGTAGAATTTTGTGATGTGCTATCTGTTGTTACTTTAAAATGTTCATCAACAGGTGTTAGTGGCAAAGAAGAAATCGTTGGAAGTTTGTCTATTGATGCTGTTCGTTTTGAGGACCTCGAAAAACTCTTAGGAAGGGCGGTTATTGTAGGGGATATGGACGTCTCATCACCATTTTCACTCTTTAATTTATTTTCGTTTGTACATAATGTCAGATTGCTATTATTATCAAAAACATTCCCACTAAGATTGTCAGTGTTCTCTAAAACACTACCTAATAATATATCATTTTTTTGCATTTTTTCTACATCCTTAATGTTTATACTAACTGTGGATTCTTCAGAATGTTCAGGGGTTGATTCATGAATATTTTCTTCGTGTTTATGTGAATCTTTATTTGAATCTTTACGTGATAAATCTTTATGTGGTGAATCTTTATGTAATAAATCTTTATGTGGTGAATCTCTATGTGGTGAATCTGTAGATGTTGATATATCAATAGATTGCCTTTTCCATTTTTCATCATGAAGCATTCTTTTCAATGATTTTTGTGCTTGTAATTTAGAAATGTTCAAATTAATTTCTCCCTCAAGTACTTCCACCATTAATAAGTATGGCACCTGTAATTTTCATTAAACAAGTATTCGTAATTTTTAATAAATAAATAAATAAATAAATAAATAAAATAAATTAATAATAATTAATAATTAATAATTCTAATAATACCCTATCAGCTGAATTTAATACAACTGCGTCAGCTGGAGATATTCTAATCACTCGATGATGGTATGGACTTTCTGATGTCGCCGGGCACCAAAGCGGTATACAAATTTCAGCTGGCAAATTATGATTCAATAAGGTCAACTCTGCTCTGAGTGTACTTTGTCTTGCTTCTCTAGGAACAATTATTAATCTAGTTGAAATATCTTGTAACGCCAATAAAAATTCCAGTTCAGAATGAAAATAATTTCCTTTAAGAGGACGCCTTTGTCTTTCCGGGTTATATTCTTCCAATTCATCTAATAATACATTTTCCGATGTTTCATTTGATACACGATAGAGAGAAATATCATCATCGTCACGCTCGGAAGTTGTAGGTGAATAATCTGCCGATTGAGGACGTTGTTTTTGATTATTAATCACATAACGTTTTGATGAAAAACCACTACCTTTATGTAAATCATCAAGTGATGGAGATGTAAATGCGGTATTGCCATTACGACGATTTGAATTTGATCGTAAAGAATTTTTTTTATGACCTTTAATAAACTTTGACATCAATTGTCCATTAATTTTTGAAGATTCAAAGTCAATTTGAATCTCTGGAAGTTCTTTCTTATTATATGTTTCTTCATTTTCAGTCATAATACAATGAATATTTTCTTTTGATTTTTGATCATTATTTTCCAATAAATTTGTACTTGATTCAGATTCACTTGAGCTCTCAATTTGAAGTTGATTTTCATTATTTTCATTTACATTTGAGATATCATCATTTGGTATATCTGATTGTTTTAAAGTTCTAACAGTTCCAGTATGTGTTCGCCTTCTTTCGATTTGTCTACCTAATGAACCACCAAAGACCCTCGCACTCCTCCCTTGTACTATGGCAATTTGACCTGCACTTCTCATTAACATTGGTGCAGCAATACCACCTAACATTGCACCGATCCCAACTAAAGCAGGAAAGGTATTCTCACGAACTTGTCGTGAAGATATTTCCCGGGAACAAATAATTTTATCATCATCATTTTGTACCTCGTTAAAAACTATCGCTTGACATTTGTTTAAGACACGCTTACAAACAGCAAAAGCTGGGGAAAAGGGATTGGCAGATAAATCAGAACGATATGCTTGAAGATACCATAAAGTCTAAAAATATCAAAATCATAGATGAAAAAAAAAAGAAATAATAGAAATATAAATATAACTATAAATATAAATATAAATACAATATATTAAAAAAAAAAAAAAAAAAAGAACAACGCATTAAAAAAATAATGCAATTTTTTTTTTACTATTTATTTGTCATAATATAACTACAATACCAGTATAGCCATATGTGTTGACTTCTCACAGATCTCTAATACAAAACATTCTAATGCAACCGATTCGGTAGTTCGACTAATAAGTAAATGACTATTTACCAAAGGTTTAAAAAGAATATATATATATGAATCAATAATATAGCCTTTTTTGATCTATAAACGTGTTAATGCTCATTCAAACCCTTGACCGACTTAAACACGTTCACCCAACTAAATAATAGGCTTGTAAAAACAATTTTTGAGATGCTTCCATAGATTTTGAAAATATCTATCAACCATAAGGTATTTTACCATAACTGCGGCAAAAAAAATTCGATTTCAGACATGGGAAATTTCCTGAGCTCATTACATAAATAATGTTGAATCCCAACCGAGTCGGGATATCTAAACAAATAAGAGATGGCCATCCAACTATTAAAGTGTTCGCTCTGGAACAACCGAAGAAGGAGCTGTTGTGACATGATCTAACTACTTTGATTAAGACTCGATAAAAGGATATAACGAATACGAACTTTAAGACATATCAGTCAGGCGACATGTCCATTAGAGGTGTTGATCATAGATTACTATTTGTGCGACATATTAAAGTCATAAAATCTTAATGGTTTATCTTTATTCAAGTTAAAATTTGAATATATAATTTCTAAAGGGTTTAGAAATTGAATTTCAAACACAGGTTATAACGCTTTAATATTACTATTTATTTGATAAAGTCTCAGATTCTCATGCTTTGACTAGAGTAAACTATAATAAAATAATAAAATACAATAAGAAATATATAAATATATGCTAATACCAAAATCAGCTAAAATTATTAATCTTATAACATTAAAAAAAAATTTTTTTTTAAAGTATCAAAAACCGTATATTGTGACAAACTCAATTTGCATATTTAAGTCTATCTGCTTAAAGGTAGAAACCTTAAAAAACATTTATAGGAACGATGTTAGTCTTTTTTGTTGCATAAAAGATCATTTAAGCATTCAACTAGATCTGTTGTGTCATAACGTGCTTCTTTTGGCATTCCAACAAGTTTTAAAATACCATCTACAACGACAAAAAAACGGAATGGCCATGGTGAATATAATTTCAAGAAAGTATCATCCATTGTATCTGCTAGCACGGGAATTTCCAATTGGGTTTTTTTAACCATTTCACGTGCAGCAGCTAAACGGTCAGATAATGTGCGATGCTCCTTGACATCTACAATGTTACCAATCGGCCAAACATCAGAGGCATGTGCTTCTCGAATTTGAATCATATAAAAATCTACTTGTGTTTTATATCGAATATATATATCATTGAGCACATGAGATATGTATCGATATAAAGGACAAGTATATGATCCACCAAGAAGAACAAGAGGTCGCCCTGATTTACAAAGTGAGCGTAAAGGAACTAAAGTTGGTGAATTGGCGTTGTTACTGTTATCAATTATTGCTGTAAAAATTGAAGATTCTAACGGAACCAACGGGCAATCAGGTGCCGGCATTCCTTCGGTGAGATTTCCAAGATTAGCAATATTGTTACGAACATATACTTGAGTTGTACGGAATTCAGGATCATCTGGATGATAAGGAAAAAGATATTAAGATCAAATATCAATTATAAAAAGAAGAATGAGGATTGAGTGCATTCTCTTTACCTGGATAAAGCTGCGGTGCACGCCGCAACAATTGTACTGCCTCATCTGAGTATCCAAATTCTCGAACCAACTCAAGCTGCATCTGATCAGTAACATCCATCCAATCCTTACCACTTGTAGGATCACTCCCAACATCATAATATTTTTTTTGCATTTCAGGTGAAAACCTTCGCCGCTCTTCTTCACGTAGCAGAGCCAACAATTTCTCTTTCGTGTCTGGTAGTATTGGGGAGATAGTAATGGAAGCAATAGAGTTACCTTTTGGAACCTCCTTTGGATCTAAGGGATTCAGGAGTTTCAGAAAATGATGTTGCATGTTGTGAAGCAAGTTGGACATTGTGATACAATCAAAGCACAAGTCATAATCGGGACATTCTGAACATTTATATCTAGTTAAAAAAAAATTTTTGTGAGGAAAAATGAACATCATCAAGCTCATTAAATACAGTGAATATTAACCTTGCCCCTTTCCATTCACTTTTGCCACAATAATTGCAAGCAATACCAGCATGAATTCCATTTTGTAGACGTTCTTCAGGTGTCAGTATATATTGTGTGAGTGATGGCAATGCATCAAATTCTTTGCGACCACTGGTTTCTTGAAACATTCCACCACGTAATCTAAGTACAAGATGAAGTATGGATCCTTTACGGATATTATAATCTGACAAGGTACGTCCATCTTCTAATTGCTTGCCAGCAAAAATGAGACGTTGTTGATCAGGAGGGATTCCTTCATTGTCCTGTATCTTTGTTTTAAGTTGATCTATGGTGTCACTTGATTCTACTTCCAGACGTATTGTTTTTCCTGTTAGCGTTTTCACAAATAAATGATTAGAAAAACCTGTATGTTGAAATAGATTTAATGTGGACTCATTGTTAACCCCACTGTATTCTAAGGTGTGCCAGGAATACTCCAGAATTTTGTCATTAAAAGTAAAACATTGTTTATAAAGAGAAATGCCTTCCATATCTTGGATCATGTGAATAACCTTTTCGAGGGTGTAATCTCTCTCCACTTCCAGCTTTATAGTTTTTCCACTCGTTAATTTTACATAGATCATTATTGCTTTATATTCTAGATGCAATGTAAACTCTTCTTCGATTCTGTAATATGACAAGGGGTAATTGTCATTCATTAGCTTATTAAAAACAAGATATTGTTGGTTAGAGGGGATGCCTTCTTTATCCTGGATCATTTGTTTAACCATTTTGATTGTGTGATCCCTCCTTGCTTTTAGCTCTATGGTTTTTCCGTTCATTATTTTTACATAGAACTTTATATCTTTATATTTTAGATGTAATGTAGACCCATTTTGAACATTGTAATATGACAAGGTATTCTGATCATGTAGTTCGTTGCCTGAAAAAACAAGACATTGTTGGCCGAGAGGGATGTCTTCTCTATTCTGTATCTCTTGTTTAATTTGTCTGATTGTTTTGTTTGTCTCTGATTCCAGATTTATAATTTTTCCAGTTTTTGTTTTCACATAAATTATTGATTTATATATTTTTAGATAAAGTGTTGACCCTTTTTGGATTTTGTAATATGACAAGGTATGATCATCATATAATTCATTGTCATCAAAATTAATACGCTGATGGTCAGGGGTAATTTTTTTTTTATCCTGGATCAATAATTTAACTTCATGGATAGTGTCATTTTCCATTGGATCAAGCTCTATGGTTTCTCCAGTCTCTGTTTTTAAGTAGATAATCATTCCCCTAGATTTTAGATGCAATGTGGACTCTTTTTGTACGTTGTAATATGATAGAGTAAGATGATCATTTAATTCGACGTCATTAAAAGTAATGCATTGCTTTTTAGAGGAAATGCCTTCTAAATCCTGGATCATCTTTTTAATCTGAATGATGGTGTCACTCCAACATACTTTCAGTTCCGTTTTTCTGGTAGACGTTTTCAGGTAGATTAGCATTGAACTTCTAGGTTCAGTTGGTGTATATACAAACGTTGGGTTTTCATAATTTTCATAGCCAATCTTTATTGCATCGACTAAATCTCCTTCCTAAAGTTACAAATATCATAATTCATTAGCACAGTATATATATTTATTCTCTTCTCCCCTTACAACATAAAAAAAAGCCTTCTATAATAATCGAATAGTCTCATAAAATATTTACCTTGATCCCTTCAAGCGTATCGGCAAGTTGTATGTCCTTATCATGATATACAAGTTTACAGGGCGCAAAACCGTACCTCCCGGCGCAATTGTAGAGGTTCTTCAACAATGCTTCTCCGGTCGTGTGTATAGTCACATTTGCTACATAGATAGAACCCGTGAAGTATTTAACGCGGATAGGAAAAATAGGAACGGGGTCAAGCAAAGTGGTCAAGAGCATTTTGAGATTTATTTTTGCAAAAATTTCCCTTATATCTGAAATCTGAATAAATAAATTTGGTAATTCATATGGATGTTACATTATTTATTGTTTGTGCAAAGTTCTACGAACATAAAGTTTAAATGAAAGTATTGTATCAAAGCAGACATGATGCTGAACTTTAAAAAAGGATAACGTTTATTTAAAGTTTTTCGGAACTCGAGATTATAACTCCTTGTGGCGCTAGTTTCACTAAACAATGACACTTTCGTGCCCGCTTCTCCCTGCAATTCGGATATTTTAGATTTTAGAGACAAGGTCTCGGATTCTTTTTTTTTTGTCGAGTTTTTCTGAGCTAGAGTTAACTTACCTTCCAATTTCTTGGTAATAGACTGGAGTGATTTATATCTTTCAATTGAGCATCACGGTTTTGTATTCAGTATAAGAAATCTGTTCACGGGAAAGTTTGGATGAAAGGTTAGTATTTTCCACCTTCAATCGTTTAACTTCATTAATAAGTTGAATAGCATTGGTTTGAATATTTGTATTTGCCGTTCCAAATTGCTATCCAATTTCTTTTTTTCCTGATCAAAATCTTTTACTTGCTTAGAGCAATTATTTCGCTAAAGTCATTAATTTTGGCTTTAGATTTGAGAGCGAAATGTAATTTTTCTTCAAGTTCTTCTTCGCACATACTTCCAAGCTGATATCCTTTCGAGTTGATATCTTACAATGTGTAAACATTGACCATATGATTTTTATATTTTGGAAAGATAAATATTAAAGATTAGCAATAATTGGTAAAGATGGGACGCATACATAAAGAATATTATAGCGTTAACGCGACTTATTTGTCCGATGGACAATCAAAAAAAATTAAGGTAAGATAAGCTATAAACGTAATCGGGAACGCAACAACAGAAGAGAAATATTGATTCTGTCAATTGAGATAAAGAAATCAAAAGCATAACTTATATGCAGAACTCCTATATTAAATTACTTTTGCATCAGTACCCACTAGAAATGTACCAATATATAACCGATTTGAATATATATAAATATCCTTTTTTCTCACAAGTTCGAAAAAAATATAATATAGTTAACATATCTAATATCTGACTTCGAGTAAGTGAAACCACAAGAAGGTGAGGGATAAATATGCAAAATATGAAATCAGTATTATTTCGATTTATATATATAAATTAATTCAATATGGATTGTAGATTCAGTAACAAATAAGTTTTTAGTGGTATCTTTTTTTTTGGCACATAATCTATCATGAAAAGTCAACCACTGTATGTTATCGAAGAAATCAAAATGCGGGTCATGTTATGTGTAAAAGATATCGTATAGGTATGAGCCGATATAAAGATATAATAATCAAATACCTCCGGAGAAATGGTGTCATATTGTTGGAACGGTTAATGATAAGACCTATATTTAATTCATCCACACTGAAATAAATCCTAATGCACTTTCTCCGAACGATCGAATTGAAGGAGAGATTTTACATACAGAATCCACTAATATACTGATAAAAAGAAGAGACTCAAATCTGGGTCTAAATCCGTATGAGCTATATCTGAACCAGTTTCCATTAATAGCTCAATGCTGATAACCCTACAAAAAAAAATAAGCCGAGGAATTTGATGCGAAAAGCGAAAAGAATATAGCAAATATTATATACTACTTAATCCAGTGAGGTACAAAAGTACCACAAATTTATTAATTTCTGCTTTTAGACTTAAGAACGTTATATGATTTACGTTTTGATCAATGTACTATATATACAACCGCAGCAATATACTTGACAAAATTATGTTCTATGTACAAGCATCATCAATACCTTCTTTAATGTTCTTGTTCTATTTCTAAAAATAAAATAAAATCATGATCAAGCGAAACAAAAACAAGAATAAAAACTTTATTTTTTTTTTTATTTATACCCAAATTTCTTTTCTAGTTTATCTTTATTTTCTTTATTTCAAGTTATAACATTTAATATATTCTTTATTTGATATTAAAGTCGTGCTTTAACTCAAGTAAACCATACAAATAAACAATTAAGAAATATATAATAAAATAATGTTTTCGGATCCATCTTAAATAAAACTTGTAAAAATTATATATATCTCATAACATTAAAGAAAATAAAAAATTTTTTTTTTAAAGAATCAAAACCGAAAGATAGCTAAAAAAAAAAAATAGAAGCCTTCAGAAACATTAATAGGAACGATGTTAGTCTTTTTTGTTACATAAAAGATCATTTAAGCATTCAACTAGATCTGTTGTGTCATAACGTGCTTCTTTTGGCATTCCAACAAGTTTTAAAATACCATCTACAACGACAAAAAAACGGAATGGCCATGGTGAATATAATTTCAAGAAAGTATCATCCATTGTATCTGCTAGCACGGGAATTTCCAATTGGGTTTTTTTAACCATTTCACGTGCAGCAGCTAAACGGTCAGATAATGTGCGATGCTCCTTGACATCTACAATGTTACCAATCGGCCAAACATCAGAGGCATGTGCTTCTCGAATTTGAATCATATAAAAATCTACTTGTGTTTTATATCGAATATATATATCATTGAGCACATGAGATATGTATCGATATAAAGGACAAGTATATGATCCACCAAGAAGAACAAGAGGTCGCCCTGATTTACAAAGTGAGCGTAAAGGAACTAAAGTTGGTGAATTGGCGTTGTTACTGTTATCAATTATTGCTGTAAAAATTGAAGATTCTAACGGAACCAACGGGCAATCAGGTGCCGGCATTCCTTCGGTGAGATTTCCAAGATTAGCAATATTGTTACGAACATATACTTGAGTTGTACGGAATTCAGGATCATCTGGATGATAAGGAAAAAGATATTAAGATCAAATATCAATTATAAAAAGAAGAATGAGGATTGAGTGCATTCTCTTTACCTGGATAAAGCTGCGGTGCACGCCGCAACAATTGTACTGCCTCATCTGAGTATCCAAATTCTCGAACCAACTCAAGCTGCATCTGATCAGTAACATCCATCCAATCCTTACCACTTGTAGGATCACTCCCAACATCATAATATTTTTTTTGCATTTCAGGTGAAAACCTTCGCCGCTCTTCTTCACGTAGCAGAGCCAACAATTTCTCTTTCGTGTCTGGTAGTATTGGGGAGATAGTAATGGAAGCAATAGAGTTACCTTTTGGAACCTCCTTTGGATCTAAGGGATTCAGGAGTTTCAGAAAATGATGTTGCATGTTGTGAAGCAAGTTGGACATTGTGATACAATCAAAGCACAAGTCATAATCGGGACATTCTGAACATTTATATCTAGTTAAAAAAAAATTTTTGTGAGGAAAAATGAACATCATCAAGCTCATTAAATACAGTGAATATTAACCTTGCCCCTTTCCATTCACTTTTGCCACAATAATTGCAAGCAATACCAGCATGAATTCCATTTTGTAGACGTTCTTCAGGTGTCAGTATATATTGCGTGAGTAATGGCAGTGCATCAAATTCTTTGCGACCACTGGTTTCTTGAAACATTCCACCACGTAATCTAAGTACAAGATGAAGTGTGGACTCTTGATGGATATAATAATCTGACAAGGTACGTCCATCTTCTAATTGCATGCCAGCAAAAATGAGACGTTGTTGATCAGGGGGGATTCCTTCTTTGTCCTGGATCTTGGTTTTAAGTTGATCTATGGTTTCACCTGATCCTGCTTTCAGAGTTATTGTTTTGCATGTTAGTGTTTTCACAAATATCTGACCGGAACCAAATGGAACATATTGAAATAGATTTAATGTGGCCCCATTGTTAACTCCTTTGTTTGATAAGGTGCCTGAGCGCAGAATTCGGTTATTAAATGTAAAATATTGTCGATAAGAGGAAGTGCCTTCTTTATCTTGGATCATGCGAATAACCTGTTCGAGGGTGTAATCTCTCTCCACTTCCAGCTCTATAGTTTTGCCGCTCATAAATTTTACATAGATCATTATTGTTTTTTTTTTACATTCTAGATGCAATGTAGACTCTTCTTCGATTTTGTAATATGACAAGGGATGACTGTCATACATTTGCCCATTAAAAATAGGATAACCTTTAAAAACAAGATGTTGTTGGTCATAGGGGATGCCTTCTTTATCCTGGATCATTTGTTTAACCTCTTTGATTGTGTGATCTCTCCTTGCTTTTAACTCTATGATATTTTCGTCCATTAATTTCACATAGAACTTTATTTCTTTATATTTTAGATGTAATGTAGACCCATTTTGAACATTGTAATATGACAAGGTATTCCGATCATGTAGTTCGTTTCCTAAAAAAACAAGACGTTGTTGGCCGAGAGGGATGTCTTCTCTATACTGGATCTTTTGTTTAATTTGTCTGATTGTTTTGTTTGTCTCTGCTTCCAGATTTATAATTTTTCCGGTTTTTGTTTTCACATAAATTATTGATTTAACTTTTAGATAAAGTGTAGACCCTTTTTGGATTTTGTAATATGACAAGGTATGATCATCATATAATTCATTGTCACCAAATTTAATACGCTGATGAACAGGGGTAATTTTTTTTTTAACCTGGATCAATAATTTAACTTCATGGATGGTATCATTTGCGGTTAAATCAAGCTCTATTGTTTCTCCAGTCTCTGTTTTCACGTAGATAATCATTCCCTTAGATGTTAGATGCAATGTGGACTCCTTTTGTATGTTGTAATATGATAGAGTAAGATGATCTTCTAATTCGACGTCATTAAAAGTAATGCATTGCTTTTTAGAGGAAATGCCTTCTAAATCCTGGATAATCTCTTTAATCTGAATGATAGTGTCACTCCAACATACTTTCAGTTCCGTTTTTCCGGTAGACGTTTTCAGGTAGATTAGCATTGAACTTCTTGGTTTAGTTGGTGTAGATACAAACTTTATTTGAGAAAGTTCTGTTGAATTTTCACATCTACTTGCTACTGCCTCAACTAAATCTCCTTCCTAAAGTTACAAATATAATTCATTAGCACAATATATATATTTATTCTCTTCTCCCTTACAACATAAAAAAAAGCCTTCTATAATAATCGAATAGTCTCATAAAATATTTACCTTAATCCCTTCAAGCGTATCGGCAAGTTGTACGTCCTTATCATGATATACAAGTTTACAGGACGCAAAACCGTAGTCCCCGACGCAATTTTGGAGGTTCTTCAACAATATTTCTCCGGTCGTTTGTGTAGTCACATTTGCTACATAGACAGAACCCGTGAGGTATTTAACGCGGATAGGAAAAATAGGAACGGAGTCAAGCAAAGTGGTCAAGAGCATTTTGAGATTTATTTTTGCAAAAATTTCCCTTATATCTGAAATCAGAACAAATAATTTGGTAAATTCATTGATGCCGAAATTAAAAAAGGAAATATTTAAAGTTTTCGGATCCCGAGGTTATAACTCCTGACGGAGCTAGTTCACTAATATCCGGTCCCTATATTCTGTACCATATGCGTCAGATAACTACGGATATTAGGGCGCTTGCTAAAATTCTTTCCCTCCCGCTGTAATCTGGGATAGGATTTAATCAAAGAAGAGTTAAGAGATTTTCGTTTTTCAAGATATGGGTCATGCTCTTGGCTAAAAAATATCTCATATCTCATGCTCGCGTTGTAGAGTATCAGGTATATAGAAAATCGGGAGCGCAAACAACAGAAGAGAAATATTGATTTCGTCAATTGGGATAAAGAAATCGAAAGCATATGTGACTTATATGCAGAACTCCAATATTAAATTACTTTTGCATCGGTACCCACTAGAAATATAACTGGTTTGATGATATATATATATAAGATATAATAATCAAATACCTCCTGAAGAATTGCGTCATATAGTTGAAGCGGTTAATGAGATAAGACCTATATCTAATTCATTCACACAGACAATCTTACCTGAGACACAAAGCACAATTTTTCCCGAAATAAAATCCTAATGCACAAAGTGCACTTTCTCCGAAAGATCGAATTGAAAGAGAGATTTTACATCCAGAATCTACTAATATATCGATAAAAAAAGAAGAGACTCAATTTTGGTCTAAATCCGCATTATATGAAACAATGAGCTATATCTGAATCAGTTTCCATTAATAGCTCAATTTTTGAAAACCTTTAAAAAAAATAAACCCAGAGGAATTGGATGAGAGAAGCCAAAAGAAGCGAAAAGAATATAGCAAATATTAGGTACTATTTAATCCAGTGAGGTGCAAAAGTACCGCCGTTTTATAAATATGCTATTTTTTATCTCTTCACAAATTTATTAATTTCTGCTTTAGACTTGAGAACGTTATAAATCATAATCATATTTGTTGAGTAATGTATATTACTGCAAAATCAGAACGTATAGTAAACAACTCGATGAGATCATGTTTCACCTTTGTATTGATTGTTAATTTTGAGCGTTTAGAGTCATAACTGGAAAATTCCACAAGAATCAAGGCCAGCATCCTGCATCTTGCGGTAGCAACATCTGTAGCTGGTTCTTTTCTTTGGATAAAATCAATTTCTATGGGATCATTTATAATATCATCCTTAGATGTTTCTAATATGTAAAACTAATACCGCACTTGGTTTTAAGTATTTTTATTATATCTGCCATCTAATATTTCTAGTATAATTCTTCGAAACTGTTTATCGATAAGGGATGTGTTATGAGTCAAGAAGTGAAGCTTCATTTCGAAATTTGTTAAATATCCGGGGTATTATGACCTGTGGGTTGTCAATAGTCAAAATTCAAGTTGAATTTTATTAAATTATTAATAATAATACAAAGAAACATCTTCTAGTTTATTAACTAGACAAAAATTTCTAAGGAAATATTAATGAATAGTATAAGCAATAATATTATTAACAGCAGTAAAACTCCTTGCTAAAATGTAGAACATTTAGTAAAGGTCAAGATAAAAACTTTTTAAACAGTAAAACTCCAAGGTTTTCAAAAAATTCAAATAAAATTAATAATATACTTTATTCTCCAAAATACATTTTCAGAGATTTTTGAAGATTTTCAAATATACATAGGAGGTTAAATACACATTCAAAATGTTAAATATAGTCCCAAATCCCAAATTAATTTATTAAGTTTTTAATAATTTGGACATCTATAGTGTTAAGATAATTAATAATCTCTTTTGGATGGTATTTTTTACTGTAAAGAATAATAATTAGCATAAAAGATAATAATGAAAGGTGAGGTAAGCAACAAGAAGGAAATATCATTTTCGATTAAGGGTGAAACAATTTTTTCTTTAATTCGATAATGCGATCTATTCATATTAGCTGCGAACAGATTTCACTCTGGTGAAGATCACCTAATCGCGACATTATTAAAATTATTGATGCTGAAACAAATTAACTCAGGAGTTATTAGTTATTTATTTAATAAGTAAATTTGAATGCAAAAAATAAATTAATGAATAATTATATTCAACGAATACGAAGTCGCGCGTAGGTAATAAATCTAATTCTATAATCATGGATAGTATCAAGGATAATTACAAAATATAATCTATATTACATAATCCAAACTGTCCATGAAGATTTTATCCGCGTGATTATTCCATTTTCTTGTTTATATTTACAACAACCCTTGACGTTTCAAATCGTCATAAGTCTTTTTATTAAAAACATTGCCTTCTTGATCTTCAAATTCTTCCATTGTGTCCGCTTTAAATTCATCGGATTTACCTGAACTTTTAAGTTTTTCCCACACTTAAATGAATAAATATTGAGAAAATGATAATTTATTAATATTATCAAAAATAAATAAATAAAAAATAAATAATCAATTGAATAAATTGAATGATATTTACATGCGTAAGCATCTTCTATCAAAGTGATTTCATGAAAATGTCGCGTATTTGGAATACCCAAACATCTCATTCCATGTGCGTGCCTCCATTCCTAGAAAAAAAAAAAGGAAGCCAATTAGGAATTTTTTGTTTATAGGACAAAATTTTTTTGAAAGAAAGTAGATTTATTACCTGAAAATGTCGATCGAATGCCTTTCTACCCATATATACATAATTTCCACATATTTCGCAAGGATATTCAACTCCAAGACCGTGAAGTTTATATAGCCAATATGGAATTGGTTTACCATCCCATCCAAGAGGCAATTTTAAAGGATTATAAATTTTATCTTCATCTTCTGACTCTGATTCTACATCATCCACCTCTTCAGCTTCTAGTTCCATCTAAAATTTTTTATTAAAAAAAAAAAAAAGGTAATTAAGAGCAAATAAAAACAAATAAAAACCAACTAATAAATATTTTTTAAATATTTACTCTACGCTCTCGATCAGTTAAAGCCCGTTTTCTCTCAACATTTGCTTTAGTATCTTCACGTTGAGATCCTAGTATTTCAGAATATTTTTGTATCAAGGCTTCGTTAAATGCAACATCTTTTTCTCTTTTATCTTTTGCGTCTTCCGCTTCTTTTATTAATTTGGTTTGAGTCTCTTGATCTACTGAAGTAACCCCTTGTTCCATCATTGAATTTGCAGCTTTTATGTGTTTTTTGCTCTTTAGATGAGCGTCAAAAACTGTCTTCTTTGTATATCCCTTCTTACCTAATTAATTTCGTTAAAAGGAATCTCAAACATTTTAGACTAAAATTTATAGATTATAAACGCATAAATATATGAAACATCCATCCAATACGTACAAGCCACACAGAACAGATTGTGTGAAATTTCTTCTCCAATAGGTCTTAACCATCCAGGAAAAATCCCATCATTCCATTTTTGATCAAAATCAACTTCAACTTCTTTTTTTATATCATCTAAATTTGATAGAGGTTTAACTCTTTTAAAAAAGCTTTCTAAATAACTACGAAGATCATTTAGATATCTATACCAAAAAAAAAAAAAAAGAGATGAAAGAAATAAATATAAATTTAACCAAAATTTACCAAAATTAACTAAAAATTATTATGAAATAATTACTTAATATATTCTCCATGCTTATTCTCTTTAGGATAATCAGCAAAATTGTCAAATTCACTCAAATAAGTCAAATAATCGATCTTTTTCACATTCTTTAAATTTACATATTGTTCATGAAGAGCGTGCAAATCTAGAAATCTTCCACATCCTTCTTCGCCTGAAAATAGCTTATCTAATTCTATAATATTTAATTTAAATTATTTAATTAAATTATTATTAATTCAAAGTTTAAATTTTTATTATTAGTTAAATTTATTATTCAATACATCACCATCATCTTCTCCAAGTAATTTAGATTGGTTAATAAATTCTAATTCTAGAGGTTCTACAGTTTCATTAGGATATCGACGATGATAATCTTTGATTGCTTTTAAACGTCCATAAAATTCACTAAATTCTGAAGTTCCAGATAACTCATCAATTTCTGCTTTACGTGCACTAATGATAAAAAAAAAGGGTTATTATTATATGAAAGGTTTTTTAATAAATTTTTATATTAAAAAAAAATCAAACTTACTTATCAGAATCGTCATAAAGGTCATATAAAAATTTACTTCTCGAACTGATTCGATCAAGAAAATCGCTGACTCTATGTTCACGAGATAATCTTTCTTTATGCTGTAAATATAAATATAAGCTCGAGAAGTTAAATAAAACGATCGCGATCTATTTATTTATAAAAATATAGTAAAAAGAATGTCTCACAGTTTTGGGTTCATTAATGAACTGTTCAACGATTGTTTGTTCTAAACGCTCAATTTCTTCATGAGCTTTACGTTGCTGCTCTAATATGCTTTCCATTTTTTTTTAATTTATTAATAATTTATTATCTTTACGAGTTTTTTTTTTTTTTATCGAAAACGGTTTAACTTTACATAACATGTGACTTCTCTTAAATTATTTAAATTACACAAAGCTACTCCTATAATATTATTAAATTTATTTCTATATATCTTCTTCATGTACAACATCTTCCTCCTCAAGATTATAATTGTTAACTTCATATTTTTCTAAAGTTTCTATCATACTGTTTAATTCTTTCTTTAATCCTTTAATCTCTAATCCTAACCCATTAAAATCTTTACGTGAAACTAATAATTGATCATTTACACGTATAAAGTTTGTACAAAGATTATATGTAGAATCAAGTGTTTCTTGCGGAATTGAAGTAATAGCAGAAGATGACGCAGTTAATAGGTGATCAATAAGTGATGATGGATCAGATGAAGATTCTATAGATTTTGCTATAATGAAAAAAATTTTTTTTTTGTAAAAATCATTTTCACAACTAAAAATAACAAATTAATAAGAATACATTCAAAGGAAATTTTTTTTTTTCACAATTACATTTTCCTTTTCCTTTTGTTTCTTCGTTTTTTTTATTCGTTTCGTTAGTATCATTAGTAGCAGTGGTGATAGTAGTAGTATCAGTATTTATAATTTCTAAGATATTTACATTTTCACCAATTTGTTGTTGATTGTAAGTTTGCAATCGAGTTAAATCTGATAATATATCACTAAATGAAAGAGGTGAAGGTGTAGCTGGCAAATTCGATTTACGTTTGAACATTTTCCAAATTTTCTATTTAGTTAAAAAAAAAAAAAAAAAAGGTTTAGGAAAAAATAGTTTATAATATGAGGTCAGGTGATAACAAGTTATGGTGGTGCTATGACGCAGAAATCAAGAAGCAAATTATCGGGAATTGCTCAACTTCATTAATAATAGTAATTAAATAACAATAACAATAACTAAAAATTCGAAATAACTTGTTTATAACGTGTTATTTTTTTTTTTGGAAATAATAAAAAATTATTATATGGTATATGATATCCCAACTGGGTATTGTATATTTTCTATTGGATAACAAATATTAATCATGTGCTTAATATAAGATAGGAATAATATTTATTTGGAAAAAGTTATTTATAAAAATAATTATATAATGCAATTTATCCAAATTTCTATATACAAATATATTCAATGCCTTAAATCAGATACATTTATGCATGAATTTGGTCATTTTTGATATTCCCAATTGTTTACTCATGTTATTTATTGTATTTATGCAAAATTAGATCATTTTTATTTTTTATTTTAATTGTAAAAAAATTTTTTTTTCAAAAAAAAAAAAAGAAAAGAATTTAAACGTTTAAACTCCGTCAATAATACTAATAATTGGTTGAAATAAGATTATCAATCTAAACTTAAAATGATGCTGTATTTTGTGTGATGTTTATTATTATTATACTTTCTTTGTTTTCTTTGCTAAACTTAAATATATATTTGTCAATATTAGGAAGGTTGCATAAATTTAAGGAATTTAATAATTTATTGAATTAGATAAAAAAGTAAATTCATTGTAAATTCAAGTCTCGATTCTGTATCAGATTTAATGCGTCACACACTTGCCTTTTAATTAGGAAAATTTAATTTATATCAAATATATTTTATATATTGTACATATATTGTATAGTATGAAATTTCTCTTAATAGAATAGTGAAAATAAAGTAATTAGAATAAAGGTTTTCATAATGTAAATATGTGTAATTATGTAGAGATAAGAAAATTAGCCAATCAAAGATTAATCTGAAAATCTGAATTATACGTAAAATCCAAATTAAGATATACACATTAATGGGAGGAGTGAAAATTCCGAATCACTAATTTTAATAATTTTTAAGTGACAAAAAAAAAAAAAAAAAAAAACGACGGACACACATACATAATTATACATATTACATTATGAAAACCTTAATCTATATTGATAATACAAACGGAGAAAAAAATTAATTTGAGAGAATTAAAATAAAGTTACACGAAAGGCTTACGCAAAAACTGCAGTAAATATACTAAAAAGGAAACAAATGAACCAAAATTTGGATAATTAAATTAAATTTCTAATGCATATTCTATTATTCTAATCTAAAATATTTATTTTTTATTAATAATGATTCGAATTATCATATCATATTTATAATTATTATAATTTATTTTAATTTATTATAATTTATTAACAATTAATTCTAGAACATTGAAAAGGTGATTAGCCGAAAACGATATATAACAATTAACGAACTAACGGATAAGTCCGGATTAAATTATTAAATATAACTTAAAAAAGTATAGTCAAATATTAATTAAATAACTAACTTGTTAATAATTAATAATCATTTAAGCAAAATATGCAAATAGGAAATTTTTAAGCAATAAAAATTTAAAAAATCTTAAATAATCTAAAAAATAATCTTGTAATAAAAAAAAAAAATAAATAAATAAATAAATAAGAAATAATAAGAATAATAATAATCTTGTTTTAAAATATCTGAACATCTGTTACATCTGTAATATCTATCTTAATATCTAAAATATCTGTAATAATAATAGAAATAGAAATAAATCTTTAATAATAGAAAATAAATAATAATGAGAATGATAAAGTAAAGTAACACGAAAATAAATAAATAAATAAATAAAACCAATTGAACAAAAAGTTTTGAACTAAGCATTAAACTAAGCCTTAATGGCTCACCCTAATTAAAGTGCAAAGCCAAAACCAGAATTAAAAGAATCAATTTTTGAATGACAAAAACACTACAAATAAAAAAACCAAATCAAGAAATGATAAACTTGAAACGCCCAATTTAACGACACACAAGAATCAAACATTAGAAATAAATGGAAATGTCAACTAATCATATTACCATAATTTTCACCATTATTTTCTTCCACAATTTACATAATTTAGTAATTATTATAATTATTCATTTTAATCCTATTTATATAATTATTATAATTAATTATTATAATTATAATTAATTATTATAATTATTATAATTGTTATAATTGTTATAATTATAACTATTTATATTAAAAATTCTCTTTTTTGCCGATTCTTTATTTATCGTTACTCTGCATTTTTTTATAGACCCTATTTCAACTAACTTTCCACTTTTTTTTTTAAAAAAGTCACCCTCTTTTTCTCTATTTTTTTCCCCTTTTTTCCATTAATCTTTTCCTGTTCGAGAACAAATACCTCTTTTTTTTTTTTTTTTAATGTGTCTGTGTTCATTAAACTGTGCCTGTTTGACTGTTGTTTGATATATTATTATCGTTGGTCTTTGTATTCCCGTTTTTGCACACTAAAAATTATTATTACCCTTTGTTTGAAATCTTTCTTCTTTCGTCGTCCGGCTCCGACCTACCTTTTCTCTTTTTTTTACTTTTGCTATTTGTTCTTCTCGCTTAAATCCTTATCTGTTTATAAAAAAAAAAAATTCTAAATATATATACATTTCTCTGTCTATTTTCTTTTATAAATCTTTTTTATTAAAGTATCTTTTAACGTTGTTTTCTTTATATAAACTATAACTGTTGAACTTTTATATTACTCAAAAGACATTATAGATAAATCCTGTAAGTATATCCGACTTATTTACTTATATCATTGTCTATATAACGAAATGCCCTGAAGAGTTCCTGAAGAAGAACTCAAACTTTTATTTTTCTTTATTTCTTGTTGTCGTTATTATTATTATTATTATTATTATTATTATTATTTCTTGTATTTTTTTCTACATATTTTCGGTCTATCTTTTTGTGTTGCTGTCAGTTTGAATGGTGCTTTTGCATTAGCTGCACAACGAAAATATACCTCTTGTGCTACAACTGCGCGTGCAGTATCACTGTGAAAATTTTTAATAAATTTATTTAACTTTATAATTAAACTCACCTCTTTAACCTTTTTTCTTTATCATATAATTATATATTATAGATAATCACGATGTCAAACGTTTATGATCAATTTTCTTCCTCTATTTCGTCCAGTTCATCCAGTTCAACTAGTTCATCCAGTTCATCTAATTCAGTTAGTTCAATTAGTTCATCTAATTTAGCTAGTTCATCTAATTTAACTAGTTCACCTAGTTTATCCAACAGTCCATCTAGTCAATCTACTAGTTCATCATCTGATGTCCCACGTAAATCTTCAATTATTTCGATATCCGCCTTGTTGAATCCTACATCTAATGAAATTAAAACGTCCCCCATACAAAATAAATCCTTTGATTCTTATGGAAATTATGATAATTATGATGATTCACCGAAAGGTTGTCAAGGTTAGAGATTCTAAATATGTTAAATCTTTTAATATTTTAATATATATACATACACATATATATATATATTTATTTATTTTAATATTCCTTTAGTTGTACATTAATTATTATATTAACTATTATATTAATTATTATATTAATTATTATATTTACTATTATATAGATTCGTCCATTTCAGCTCCAAATTCTCCGAATTCAAAAAATTCGTCATCTTTACCATCAACCCGTCGGTCTTCAGCATCTGATCAAGCTTCAATTAATAATATGATTACTCCACCTCAAACTCCTGGTATGATATCACCAACAAATGCAAACTTTCAATTCCCTCAAAATACGGTTGATCAACCAAGTCAACCTTCAATGCCACCAAAAGTTAAACGTAAAAGAATTACTCAAGAACAATTGGCAGATTTGGTATCAATGTTTGACCAAACTGATACTCCCTCTTATGATGTACGGGAGAAATTAGCCAAAAAATTAAATATGACCAATCGTGAAGTTCAGGTCTGGTTTCAAAATCGACGCGCCAAAGCAAATCGTGCCAAAGCAAATGAACATAATGCATCACATCAACACCACAGATTCTTGCATCACCATTCAGTATCAACATCTCAAGCCGCTAGTGGTCATGCTTCTTCCATTGGCATGATGAATCATGGAACTTTCACTTTTGTTCCTATGTTCACCAACGGTGGTCCATCATCAAGTGGTCCAACTAAGGGTCGTAGTAATCGTAGACATTCTTATGTTCACCCACCCTCGTCAAACTTGAATTCACAGAAAAAATCTTCACAAAATAATAATAATCCGTACACCAGACCTCGTGCTTCAACTGTAACAGGGGTTCCAATGTCATCACATAGTAATTCTACCCAGAAAATGTTGTCAGCTCCTCCACCACTTAAGATCATGCCATTCGCTCCTCAAGAACAACAACAACAACAACAACATCAACAACAACAACAACAACAACAACATCATCTTCATGTTTACGGTGGACATTCCCATATCGTTCCTCCTTCTCCGATTTCTCCCACTTCTCCTATTACATCATTTTTACCTCCCCCGATTTCTTCTCATTATATGTTACCCAGTCTAAATCCATGTTCTCTTCCACCACCAGTTATCGCTCCTATTAAAGATATTCTTGGTACCCCTGCTGATTTATATCAATCCGGATCGAATGTATTACCTCCTCCATATAATACATCCAATAGTAACAATAATAATAATAATACATCTCAATCATATCCTCCCCAATCTCAAAATAATAATAATAATAATAATAATAATAATAATAATAATAATAATAATAATAATATTTACAATACAAATACCGAGAACATGACAGCAAAATCAGCGATCGACATTCTAGCTACTGCAGCAGAATTTGTCCAAAGTGAAGAAAAAGAGAAGGAACGACTTAAAGCAATTGAAGCTATGAATGTACCTGAAAGTGAAAATGATGGTCAAAGATCTGCTGTTTGGAGACCTTGGTTGGTCTAAATCAATTCATTATTGGTACAAATCCATTATTTCTATTATTTCTCTTTTGTAATTGAGAATATTATTATTATTATTATTATTATTATTATAAATATACTTGATACCATTTTTTTTAGATGAGATGTTGTACAATTTTGTACAATCTGTATCTTATTGTATTTCGTGTATTCGTGTATATTTTTTTCCTTTTCTCTTTTTGATGTATCAATACATACAAATTTTATAACAAAAATTTATATATCCCCGATTCTGCTTTCCATTCCCCGGAATCATATAATTGAATTAGATGATGAAATGATTATTTTTACATTTATTATTGATCCATCTTTGATATTTTGATAGAAACCATTTTGACGTTTCCCCCCCCTTTTTTCTCTATTATTTCTTATCATAAAAAACTTTATATATATATATATATATATATATATTTTAACGAATATTGATGATAAAATTTTAGATTGGGATTCTTTGGAATGTAAATATATATGTATATATTACTAGGATAAAGAATTCTTTTTTACTTTGTTATTAAAAAATTTAACCATTAAAATTATTGACATCCTTCTTGTTGGACATTTGGGTACATACATACATACATACGAACAAACAAGGTCAGGGTGTAAAACCGAGAAAAAATTTTTAGAATTTTATTTTTTTGAAATACTTTTTTAACCATAAATCTTATTAAGCATTTTGGATTTTTTGGAGGAAAGAGATTCCGTATAAAAAAAAAAAAATTTATTATACTTGTACAAAATTCTTTTGTTCCCCCTTTTTTCTTTCTTTCATTTTTTTTTCATTTTTGGGATCTATATCCAAATGAAACACCTAATCCAAATTTTACATATATATATATATATACAATATAAAGGTGATCATTTGGAAAATTTTTTTTCTTTGTACATAAATTTTTTTATTTTATTTTTTTTTTTACTTTCTAAAATATATATAAAAAAAAAAAAAAGAACTAGGGATATGATTTCTTTGCTTTTGTTATATATATATAAATATATATTTGTTCACACAATTGAATCAATTAAATCAATTAAATCTGGTATATAATTATTATCTCTTGTAATTTTTTATATTATTTTGTTATTAAAAAAGAAAATATATTTGTGGTCGATTTATTGAAAATTGAAAATGTGTCAAAAATTAAAATTGATTATTATGGTTTGTTTCATGCAATTTTTATGGTATCATAGTTACAAATTGTTGAATGTCATCTATTCTTTCGTGTATTTCTTAATTAGTAAATTGATTGGAGCTGTGATGGTGCCTGGGATACCTGTTCCCTGACACGCTGCAGAATCTAGTTAACGACTTAAAATAATTTGCTTATTAATCACAAATTCGGGATCTGCGTTGATTTGAATTTAAAAAGAATGAAAAACTTTAGAAAAAATTAAAAAACTTTTCCCATAGTTACACATTTGATCTTTAAAGGCATCTATCCAGGTTAACAATATTATGAAGTAAATTATTTACTAATGTATCAGTCTTAGCCTTACATGTACCTATTATTACAAAAGCCCTTTCTTCCCAACAGCATGCATTTTGTTGATGTAAGGATCTGAAATTTCATCAATCCTCGTCAGTCTTTTTGCAAGGCCTGCATAGCTACATTACTTGATGCCTGATACGTATCTAAGATCACGAGCAAGAGTCCAGTATATTAATGCATTAAGAGTGAGTTTCATATCCATCTGATGACCACATCATTCCTACTACCGAAGATATGTATTAAAGTTGAGCTCAGTACTTTTAATTTGATATTATTTAATCACTAACTTTCCAGAAAAATAGGCCTCAACGCCTTATGTTAATATCAATAATGATCACATAATTTTCTCTGTATTCTTTACGTACATCAATATTTTGAAATTGCAGTATTTACTAAATAATTCTCACACAAAAAAAAAAAGATTTTGGAACTTTTATATTCATTATAAGATTTTTTCATCAAAAATATTTTGTTAATTCCAAAAATGTTTTCGTTTCTTGAGTCTCGCAAGGTTTTCTCGGCATATATAGTTATTCCAGAGAATTGAATAAAAATTAAATTCTCCATGATTATTACACGTGTCATTTTTGCATATGTGCGTTAATAACATATTTAATCAAAACGTGTCATGTATTTCCCACAACAGGCTTTTCAAAATAATAATTTTTTTATTTGATATATTAAGCAAGAGATATTAACCATTATAGCATTTTCGGGTTTAGTATTTATTTTTTTTTTTTGAAATATGTTTTTTATTATTTTTCTAATACGCATCTATGATCTACACCGTGCATGCATAAAAAATTTTGGACATTTGCCTATATGAAAACCAAATTAACATTTTTTTTACTTAGCGTTAGTAGCATTTTTCTTCCTTCCTTTCAGTGTTAGTTTCGGAGATTGTGGAAGATACGAGGATGCAATTTTTTTGGTGAATCAAACAGCAGATCCGCATCCACCTTGGATTTACGCATAACTTCCCACATTCGCAACTATTTTAAATAAATACAATATAAATTAATACTAGAATGAATTTCATATATATACTTCTCAAAGGCATTCTTATCTAATGTCATTTTTACAATTCCTATTAAGAAAATCATTTTATATAAGAATGAAAGATTTAACTACATTGAGTTACTTAACGTCACCAGATTTAATCATATCCGTGTAAATTTGTATTAAATTTATATAAACTCACGTAATGCAAATAATGATCAAAAGATGAACCAAGCTATTAATTAATTTTGATTACTAATGTAAGGATGTAACAGTATCAAGTATTAATAAAATCTTAGTCAGCCTAATGTAAATTAAGTTTGCTTTATTTTCGTAAAAATGTGAAACATCGAAGATCTAACTTGCATTATCGCACTGTGTAGTTATTTAATTCTATTGACAGTTCTATGACACCATAAGGGTGACTAATTTCTATTAATTTTTTCAAAATCTTCCATTGTTTCTATCAAGAATGAAATGATTCCCATTCCAGAAACTATTTTGTGAGGTACATTACCTAGAAGATTTTTCATGATCGTAACATCTACTACCCAAAATATAGTCTTCCAATTGAAGTTCAGGATGAACAGCATGAAAACATATCAAATTCTTTCATAGAGGTGATCAAACAGCAAGAGTGGGGAAGAAAAATTGGATTATGTTTTCTATTACGAACATCATATATAGTTATTCCAGAGAATCTTCAAAGAATTGAATAAAATTAAAGCTTTATAATGCATTTGTGATTTTATTAATCGGACATTAGTGAATATATATGCGTACATATACTGTATATTAACTGACCACTTATGGAATATTAATAATCATTTGAAATAATGTGTTAACTATACATTTATTAAAATTTAAAGTATTGTGCAAATAGGAATATATTTTTTTTTAATACCACATGACCACACGATTGAAAATCAGAAGCCTCAATGTGAATAAAAATTTTATTATTTTTACAGAATAATGAAGGGCAAGGTAGGTAAAAAACGTGGTGATACTCATCAAAAAAAGACATTGAAGTTGATTAGTGAGAAAGCATTGTAGCCAAAACATTCGACCTCATTCATTTTTTTGATAGTTAATAACAAAACTACCTTATATGTTTGCGATGATCCAGTAATTGCAAAGTGATTATTATAAAGATTAAAAGTTTCCCCTGCTTAAAAATGAAAAAATTATGAAATTTTAATGTAATTTAATTGATTACCTTTCTTATCTATCTTCAAGGATAATTTGACAACTTCGATTTGTAATTAAAAAGCTTAATAAACCACTTCTTACTACAAAACATGTAATTGCACATTTTTTGGTTTCTTGGTAGATTTAGGTTTACAGAAAGAAAATAACGATTATGATCACTAGCCAAACCGGACCGAACCGGTTCGAGTTTCAAGACGTCCGTTTTGTTTGGTTTGACTTTGCTTCAAAAGTTATAGCATCAGTTTGGCTTGTAGTTTAAGTCGTTAACGGTCCAGCTTTGACTTTGAGTTCAAGTCGGACAAAGTCGACCATAAAACAACACTTGGAATAATTCCGAGCCACAAAAATTTATTGTCGAAGGAAGTTTATTAGATTTATAAGATTTCGTCAAAAGTCACACGACCTAAAATATATATTTCTCTCAGCAAAATAATTGAATATTTTCTATAATACTAATCTATTATAAAATCATAAATATTATAAATATTATACATATCATGAATATTATATATATATATATATACTATGTATTATTACGAAGACCAAAATAATTGGCCCAAGATGAATATCCTTTATTGCAAGAAAATTGCCCGTCAAGATGTACTAAATATATGCATATGAATAATATATTTTCTTTTCACGGAAATATCATCCGTTTGATAAAAATAAAAAAATTAACTACCTATCAATTGATAGGATGGTGGTTTTAGGAAATGCAAAAAGGTAAGGATAAAATGAAAAAAAAGGCAAAACAAAAAGAAAAAAAATCATCTCGTTCATTTAATTTATTCCTCCCCTTCACTCTCAACTTCACCCCCAGAATGTGACATCACTACATCACCATCTCCGTTACTGCTATTTGATTCCTCAATTGACGGTGGAATAGCGGGAACAGGAGATTGGGCAATTCTTCCTGTTCCATTCACACGAGCTCCGGTGCCTCTTCGTCTACCGCCACCATTTCTAGACTTCATCACCTCAAAGTGTTGGATGACATAATTTTTGCAGCGAGTAGCGTTGGGTAAGTCTTGGATCATCTTTCTAATTGTGGCTTGTGAAAAACCGAAATAATCAGGTCCCGAGGCTGAATTAGAATGATCTCGTTGGCGGATTGCATTTGCTTCACGGACAACCGATGTCCATGCACCGGTTGCCGTATTTGCAATGATCGGTTTATTCGGTTGATCTTCAGCCTCGATCACGAACTAGAAAAAATAAAAATAATAGAAAGAGTTTAACTTATAATTATTCAATCAAAAGATATAATAAATTAATATAAATAATATAATTATTACCTTGGGGCCTTCTCCTCCATCGTCAATTTTACAAATGTACATAGTCTGACTATCTGGATTTATCATGCTATTATATGCTCTCTTTACGGCATATCCGACAGGCCAAATATACCTTTCATTATGAAAGGTTTCACGGTCGTAAACAACATAGCCAAGATTTAATACGGTTAATATACCAATTTGCACCGGAAGCTTGTAATTTCCTGTTTCGTCTTTTTCGACATGTTGGACTTTCATTGTTTTAGTATTAAGGGGACGTTTACTTGCTCGTTTCTTGGCGACTTTTCCAGAAGATTGCGTGACTGGGGTCGTATTGACTATATTATTTGCCGGAGTAGGTGTTGTCGATTTTTTATTGGAAGTACGTCGTCTAGGTTTTTTTGTCGGACGAACGGATGATGCCCTTGATTGTTGAGTTGAAGAAACTATAAAAAATGTACACTCTGTTTAGCTAAAAATCTTTGTTTCTTTAATTTTTTTATTTTATTTTAATGAAAAACCAAGTTTACCATCTGAATCGGTGGATTCATCTGACGTGATATCAATGGATTTTTCGGAATCCGAAGTATCAGAACCTTCATATTGGCTAATACGATCTAATAGTAAACTAAAAAAAAAAACAAAACAAAACAATAAAGTGCAAAAAGGTAAAAGAGGTAAGTTTATAAATAAAAAAAATAAAAATAAAAATAAAAATAAAAATAATAATAATAACAACTTACTCTTTCTCTTTTTTGAGAGATTTAATTCTTTTGCGTGACCTGTCCAGTTCTTTAGATACTTTATCATAGTCCTTTTAATATACAATAAAAAAATTTTAAGATTAATACTAAGTTGACGTTCGACGTTTCATATTTATAATTTTAATAATTTTAATTATGTAAGAAAAAAAGGAAAGAATGGCGACTACAGAAACTTAAAAAGAGGCTCTTATATATATATATGTATATATAACTCGTCATGGTGGTAGTAGTTAATTAGCAAAGGCCTTTACATAAAAAATAAAATAAAATAAATATTTGTACATTGTCTCATATTTATTATCATTTTTACTCTCACATTTAGTTAAAGAAGTTATATGTAAAAGTTGAAAGTAAAAAGTTACAATGGAAAAAAAAAAAAAAAAAAAAAAACTTAAGGTCATTTTGAGATTTCTATATCTTATGTGTGCATTGCCAAGAACTTTTTTTCAAAGATCAAAATTATTTTCTTTAACTTTTATTGAGGTTCTTTCAAATCAGGTATTACTTACAACTTGTATGTCACGTACTCTTCGTTTCAATTTCTGGTATCGTTCTTGGGGTACGACACCATTTTCATTTGAGGTCGTGTGTCGTCCTCTGTTAGAGTGTGAATGATTTTGGGACATGGTATATAAACTTATATAAACTTTATATAAACTTTTATAAACTTTTATTTATAAACTTTTATAATAAACTTTATAAAATTGAAGATTTGTAATGTGGAAAAGTCTGTTTGGTATATCTAAAGTATCTAAAGTAGTTAAAAGGTCAACACAGAAGAGATTGATTTGTGCTTGGGTAAGATTAGTGGGAGGTTTTATAAGCAAAAGTTTGGGGGAGTATCAGTGGTCCTTATTTAATTTGGATAGTATAATATAGTGATAGTGTAAATACATATATGTGTATTATAACACATAACAGTCTTCGGGTTGTATATTCAAAAGACGCAAGTAGAATTTTTTTTATCTTGATGGAAGAAAAATTTAATGGGCTAATCAATTATATTTATGGTTTTTTTTGCAACGCAAACGGAATTCATTTGTATGGTCGTATTTATTCTGTATATGTTGTGGGGGTTTGATTTGGAACATATTTAACGGATGTTTCGGAAGGCTTGTGTGTGTGCGCTCTTAGTTCAAGGACAAAAGCCTGCCTCTTTCAAAAGAGAAAATGGATTTCATGCTGTCTCCAAATCTTTACTGCTAAAATCTGATTGGTTGAAATAATGATGTGAAACGTCACATCATGCAATTACTATCCTGAATTAGAATGGACAGTTTCTTTTATGGATTATGTTGTATATATTGTTTGAATTGTAATACATAGATATCAGGACCTTTTTTTTTTTTTCTCAGAACGCCCCTTTACAAGAATTCCAAGATTATTTAAGGGTTCAGTGTAACATTAAAAATTATTATCATCATTCTATTTCTTACAAGAAATGGCACAACGAATTAACACGTGATGTAAATATTGTTCATGTCAATATCTTGATTGGCTATTGATGTAATTTACAATGATATTTCCAATTTAAAGATAAATCTCGAAGAAAATTAGAGGAATCTGAACATTGAATGCTGACAAATGTTGATAGAAATGAATGTCAACAATTTCTGATGGTAGTCTAATGAGAGTCAGTTATCTCTTCAAGATAATTTTATACAACGGGAACTTAATTGGACAGATGGAGAAAATGTGATGGCTTGGAAAGATTTAGGATATTTTTCTAATAGAATAATTGGGATGCAACAGACCTATTTCAATAAAAGATATTAATCAAATATTAAATGTTTATTTCAAAATTTTATATTTTTATTTTATTGAAATCACCACCCAATATTATTTTAACAAATGAAAAAAAAAAAATTAAATGAATTTTTTTTTTTTTTTGGAAAATAACTGATTATATACATTGCAATTTTATTATGTATTTTATAATACATCAATTACAGGAGTTGATGTTAATGCTGATGATAATTCTAATTGTAAATGCATACATATTAAATGATGTAGGAATTATTCACAAAAAAATTGATCGAAAAATCGAAAAAAAGTTGTTTGATGAAAAAATCAATAAGTCAAATATACCACCAATATTTCTTTTCCTACTACCCTTCATTTAATCAATAATTCTTTATCTATCTCCACCAATTAAAAAAAATTAATTAAAAAAACTAATTAGAAAATTATTATTTTCAACATCTAAATTCCCCGCTTCCGGTTCACTTCCTCCTATCATCATCATCACCATCATCATCATCATCCTATAATTATTAATTCTCTATTATTATTATTATTATTATTATTATTATTATTATTATTAATTTCTCTATTATTGTTGTTGTTATAATTTATTAACTCATTTACTTTTTTTTTATGATGCTTATTGAATCTTGGAGTAGAAAGATCATTTATTTTTACAAGCCATTTACATGTGGTAGTGAATGGGTGATGAGCATGAATAACAAAATTGATGCTTTTCAGAGTTAACGATGAGTGTTGAGGTCGGAGGTGATGATTCTGGAGGTGAAGGGAGAAGATATGGTATCATGCAGCAATTAGTCGAATGTATGGAGGTAGTGTTTGTAGAGAAGTAGTAATTGGAGGAGGAGGAGGAGGAGGAGGAGGGGGGTGACAGTGGAGGCGTGTGAATCCACTGTCTTGATTGAGAGGCGTTAGCCGTCGTCAAAGCATCTTTCAGTGCGAGCTGTACAAGCTGCTTCTTTCTGGCTCGCGCTTTCTGAGCCGATCTATTGTATAAGATTCAAATAGAATTAGTTAGGAAATAAGTTAAAAATAATAAATTTTTTATTATAATAAATTATAATCAATTAAAGACAATTATAATCTATTATCAACAATTATAATCAATAATTAAAATTTATCATAATCAATTATAATTAATATAGTTAATTATAGTTAATGAGAAACTACATACTTTCTTTTCGACTCCAACATCCGCTGACGTCGCTCTTCATCGTTTTTGGGACGATTAGGATCGTTGTCCCAGCGAGTTCCACGGGGCAACTCAACTCTATGTTTGTCTTTAAGATGACGACGCAAGATAGAGCGGGAGTTTTTTCCCTTGTATACCTTCCCGCATTCTTCACATTTCGCCTCCCTTACTTGTAAGGTGCTTTTCGCTCTCACATGAGATCCTTGATCAATAAAGGAGCTCAAGGAGTTTGAAGGAGGCTGGGTTTGAAAAAATGTCGGTTGTATGTATGTGGCAAGTTGACTGGATGTGAAATCGGGTTGTAAGAGTAGAAGTGTAGAATATACGTTGGAATTTGGTGGCGAAAGATCTCTTAGTGGTGGTAATTTCAAGTCAAAAGAATACTGTTTTGGACTATCCATATTATTATTATTATTATTATATTATTATTCTTATATATTTTAAAATCTATTCTTAAAAGATAAATTTTATTATATTTTTTATATAGATTTTTTATGTTCTGAGATTATGAACAGATTCTTATGAGTTTATCAGAAAGGATCGAAAATGGGAAAAGGATAAAATGAGCGTTTAAATATTCATGAAGTGTTGTTGTTGACTTGCATGTTGATTCAATTTTCAAGAAAAAAAAAATCATTTAAAAACATTAAACATTTCGCGTTGGTTATTTCAAGTAAAGATTAACGAGAAAAATGATTTTCAACACAGAAATTTGACTGTAAATCGCGTAAAAACGCGTCTATCTTAAATATCACGTGATATTTTGTGGCAAAAAAAAAATGTAAAATAAAAGACAAACACGCATTATCATTTTTAATAACATATTTTTATTTTGTCTCAAAAATCACATGACTTTACGAAGAAGTTTGATAACTTTACAAAATTCTCAAATTGAACTTGAATACTTTTGAATACTTGAATATCAAATTGAATTTGAATATCAATATAATAAAACAAAATTTTCATTAATACTCAGAGATATCTCCAACAACGCCACATACGTTCACAAATCAAAAGTTTCTGTTGGACTGTCATATGAGGATTATCCAAGTCCTTGAGATCTTCTAAAAATCGATTACGTAAATTATTTTTGGATGGTACATATGAAGAAAAAGACTGAAGACGATGAACGTGACAAAGCATTAACCCATATGCAACGAAAGACATCTCGGCTGTCGGAGAATTATAATTATGAATAAGTAATCGTTCCACTTGACTATAATAATTAGATTATAACGAAATGATAAAGTTCTTATAAAATCGTGAATAGGTGAAAATTTTCAAGATCTTATCATTATCATATTACACACACCGCAATGATTCCCTTATTTTAGAGTTGGAACCTTGAAGCCTACTAATCCAAGATTGTTTACCCCACCAAAAAGTTTTAATCCATTCATAAAATAAATAAACAATAATTAAACTGGGACCCACAGCTAAGAAAGCGAAATTTAATTCATTAGCTTTCAAAAGTTTATCTAAAGCAGCCATAGCTAATTCCATATCAACTTTAGTCTTTTGAACTTGAATAAGTAACAAACGAATTAAATTTCCTAGATTATTTAAAATTAAGATAATTAGAATTAAATTAAAATTAAATTAGTAAAATGTGAAGATATTTAATAATAATGAAAAATGATAATATTACCCTTAATAGTTGATTTGAAGGGAGCCTATAAAGTTCATAAAGTGTACTTTTAAAATATAGATACACTTTGTAATTTATTTATTTATTAAATATTTAACTTATAAATATTTTACCTTTAATTCTTGCTCATATAATTTTAACACAATTGATATATCCCCATCTTTCACACGATTTGAAATACTTTCCAATTCTTCAGAAGTATTATTTTGTTCTCGCGCAAAATCTACAACCATTCTTTCTAAAGACTTTTGTGTAATCGAATATTTTAAATAATATTATGTTATCGATTACAATTATGATTATCATCAAGAATTTCACCTTTTTTTTTTTTTTTTTTTTTTTTTTTAAGGGATAAATCACCTCGAAATCAGAATTGAGACTATCTTTGCTCATAATAGCTAATCTTCTTTCTCGATGAATAATTGTGTTCATCATTGATTTAATAGGTTCCCATACCCAATCACTCCAAAAATTGATGACAGTCATTTTTGCATATTGAAATCGAGGTAGAAAATATTCCTAAAATAATTAATGCAGATCATTAATGCAAGTCATTATTTGACTTTTACAAATTTTTCGTTAAGCCAACCTTAGACAAATATGTTCTAGAATTAAATAATAGAATAGAAGAAATGGTTAAAGGTATCCACCAACGCGTCAAAATTGATGGAGGACCATATAAAGACATTATTTTAGAGGATTGAACATCATATTGATGAAGATGAGTGGTAATAATAGAACGAATGTGTGAATAGAAATCAAGTAAAGAAGGTGGAGATTGTTGAGAATATTCTGAATCATCTATTAAAATAAAATAAAATAAAATAAATAAAATAAAAAAAGGAAGAATTAATATTTTAATTTTATGAGCAAGTAATAGTTGTATTATTATTATTATTATTATTATTACTCACCAATGATAATATCATTCACATTTGGTATATTATCAATTTTAACATTAAATTTAGTTGATACATTTAAAATTCTTTTCATCAAAATTAAACATTTAATCAATTGATTCCCAATAATTTCACGAAAATCTACATTTTGTTTATTATCAATTTGTTCAATTTCTTCTATAATTCTTTTGAAATCTAAACCTTTCTTATTTAATAATCCCAAACATGCGGCTTGAAACTCTAAAATAGATCTTAATTTCAAATTCTTGTATGATATTTCTTCACGTGCCATAGACAATATAGAAAAGGTTGGTTGATTTAAAATTTGCCTATGCATATAGGAAGGAAAGAGATAGATTCGAGAAAAGTATTGTCTTTGTTGTCCCAAATGAAAATTTTGATATACTTCGGGAAAAGAATTGAAAATTGATGCGGATATAGAATATGCGCGAATGGGTAATGCTAACAGAAAAAAAAAAAGGTTGGATTCTATATATCATTCTTTAAAATCAACGCGTAATGTTTTGATAACTCAACTTTGAATCATATGAGTTATAGTCAGGAACTTGCTTCCGTGAAGTTTTTCCCAATAGTAAATATTATCTGACAAAGGTAAAGTCGAAACTAATAAACGTTCCATCACCTTAGCGTATATCACGATCATTGCCTTTGCCAGAAATATCCATTCTAGGAGGTTTACTACTGTTTTAAACTCCTCATTTCCCGTTAAAGTTGTTTCTATGTCATCTTCTTGACTATTTATATGAAGACTTTCTCTTGCCTTATCAAGTTGACATATTATTACTTTTAGATCTGGTATTTTTCCTTTCTCAATATTAATGCTTTGAATAGCATTTCGTATAACTTGTATATTGGTTTGCTGAATTTGAATAGAGTCAATTTCGTTAGTAACTTTTTGTTGACTAAAACTATAAACAGTTTCTTTAAGAAAATTAGAACTTAATTTGTGATAAAGAAAGTTTAAATCCCTTTGAAGTTCAAGAACACGTTCTTGAATGAAACCCATTTAAAATACCTGATCAAAATACCAGAGTTTCTCACAATATTTTATACCCGTAAAGTGATACAGATCCGACAATCCGGAAAAAAAAAACATGGTCTATATAAAACTATATAAAGGTGTCATACCCGCAGGTATATATTTTGTACAGGAACTCAAGGTCCAGGTCGCAAAAAATTTGAGCATCTTGTTTCCACAGTAAAACTTAAGTGGTTGGGACTTACATTATTATTTTTTCAAAAAAAAAAAATAATATATTTTATAGTGAACCGCACTTTATTAGTTCATATAATAAGACTTTTAACGATATGTGGAACTCTGCTACAAATTCTTCGGTCCAAGCGAATGCCAGTACTTCTAGTAAGGAACCACCTTTTCAACAAGAAGAAGAAGAGGAAGAACTCATGCAAGAGAGTGGTGGTCAATATCAGGGTGAATATTACGGTAAGGCTTATTATATAGAAATTCCGGATGTTAAAAAAAAATAAAAATAAAAATAAAAAAAAAAAAAGGCCGCAAAGTATTTTTGAGATTCCTTCGCATTCATGCGCTGTTTTAGTTATTAGGTAGATCTCTATTTGGAATCAATAATTACGATCTAAGATAATAATTATTCTAGAATTAATGATCAGTAGAAGATAATTCGATGATGAATTAACTGTTACGAATGCAGAGTTGGTTTTATCTAATGTAGTTTATTGATAATGGTTTATTGAAAATTTATTTAAAAATGATTTAAAAACTTTTATTAACCATATGGTGGAAAATCTGGAATGAATTCGAATTCTGACAAATTTTTTTCGAATCTTTTCGAATTTATATATATTTATTGAATTCTCAAAGAGACCGACACATCTAACGACACAGGAACAGAGTCGCTTACTTGGATTTCGTGGTTCTGTTCACTTTCTGGACATGAATACTTTGCAGAGGTTGCTGAAGAATTTATAGAAGATGATTTTAATCTAACTGGTTTAAATTCTATGGTTCCATTCTATAAGGAAGCCCTCGAAATGATTTTGGACGTCGAGTCCGGTAAGCATGGCCGAATAATATCAGGTGAAAAACATATGGACGATTCAGAAGAGAACGCATGATTATTTTTGATCAAAAAAAATATATGAAAATAACTTTACAGGTGATGAAATTTTTTTATTGTTTATAGAAGAAGAAACTTTGAAAGTTCCAGATGTATCAATTGTTGAAACTTCAGCTGAATTGCTCTATGGCCTTATACATCAACGCTATATTATTACACGTCTAGGTTTACAACAAATGGTAAGTATTTAATTTTCATTTCGTTTTTCTTTTTTTTTTTTAAAAAAAAAAAAAAAAAATGTGAATGATTCTCATAAAAATTTTCTTTACCATTATTATTGATTAATTAGGTGGATAAATATGAATCAAGACATTTTGGTTGTTGCCCTCGGGTGTATTGTCAATCATGCCCCGTCATTCCCTGTGGTCGAAGCGACTTACCTGGGTTAGAAACTGTAAAGTTGTTTTGTCCAAATTGTCTCGATTTATATACTCCACCTAGTTCAAGATTTCACAATGTTGATGGTATGCTAAATTATTGAAATTATTGAAGTTAAAATTAAATAATGTCTTCGAAATTAATGAAGTCATTGTTAATAATAATAATTTTTGTAGGAGCTTTCTTTGGCACAACGTTCCCTCATCTTCTTTTCCAGCAATATCCTGATCTACTTCCTTCTAATATACAAACGAAAATATATGAACCAAAAATTTTTGGATTCAAAGTTAATGAAAAAAGTCGTAGTGGACCTAGGATGCAATGGTTAAGGATGCGTCCAGGTGCAATTGATAATGACGTTGATGGCCAAGATCAATCAGAAAGTGGGGGCGGAAATGAAGATGGCGAAGATGATGAACCTTTATTGGGTCCTGGAGATGGAGAAAATAATGGATCTCCAGGAACCACTCGAAGAACTGAATATGGTTCTCCGGTACTTGGTATGGAATTAGGTTTTGGTAGTAGCAAAGGTGGATCAAAACAAGTTATGAGTGGGGAAATAGATAAGCAAGAAAAGCCTTTAACTCAAAAGTTGCTAATTCTTGCTAGAGACCAAACCACACGAGAAGTAATACGTCTAAAAGAATCTACGATGACAGTACAAGGGAGTTTTGGAAAGTCTCCGTTAACGAAGTTTATACCTTTTCTAAGCTCTCCAGCCGTCGTAACCACCACCACTCTAAACCAATCTTCCATGTCTATAACAAATGAATCTTCACCTGTCGAACCACCACCATTTTTAGTTTCATCATCACTGCCGTCATCATTATCTTCTTCTTCTTCTTCAATACAAACGTGTCTGGAAGGGCTACGAAAGACTGGTGAAATTGAATTTGATAAAAGTAAGAATGAAAAATTAAAAGCATTATTTTCAGATGATTTTGAAATTAAAGGTAGAGGAGCAGTAGAATTAGTTGGGATGGGATTAATGAGTGTAAAAGAAATGGGAAAAGACTTTTTTGATAAATGGACAGGAGTAAATAATAATGAATTATTTTGAACAATGTTTATGTTTTACAAAAAAAAAAAAAAGAGGTATTTATTCGTTGTCATCATTGTCATGAATAAAAATTGTAAAAAATTAATGATGATGATGATTGTGTAGTGGTTTTGACAATGATGTTAAATTTCAGTGGAACTTTTGGTTTATTTAAATTCCAATGGAATTTTTGGTTTGTTTAAATTCCAGTGGAATTTGTTTTTGTTATATTTTGTTTGTTAAATTAATTAAAATTCTTTTGAGATCAAAGTTTTATAGTCTTTGATTTCACTAAGACCCTTCTGTAATACACTTCTCTTTATTTATTTTATTCATCAGAATGTATAAAGATACAAATATCTATGTAATGCTAAGTATGCTATAATAAAATTATGAATGAGTTGCACCAAATCTCACCAATCTTCAATCTCCAATCATCATTGAGGAAACTGGTGATTTGGTGAAACTGTGGTACTGGTGATATTGGTGAAACTAATAGTTTAGGAAATATACATCAGTAGGCGATGATCAATGAAGGATTTTTGCATTTTTTTAGGTTTTTTTGACTTCGCTCACGATTTGTGAAGCATAGAGAGATTTTCTACTAAGGTATTCCTAAGATAGAAAGAAAGGCCTTGTTCTTAGCTACAAAATATTATGTGTTCATTCCAGTAGCATCGTATCAGCTCCGCCGATATTAACTTGCTTCCAGGATATAACTTGTTCACGGGAAAGGTGGGATAAAAGATTTTCTACCTTCAATCGTTTAACTTCATTAATAAGTTGTATAGCACTATCACGGAGTTTCAAAATTTTTGAATTGGCCTGTTTTAGATCACGATCCCATACCTTCTCTTCCGATTAATTTTTTTTTTTTCTTGGTCAGAATATTTATTCTCCAATTCAGAACATTTATCCTGAAAAGATTTATTGTAATCCTTTAAATCTGAAATGATTTTTGTAGCATAACGTAACTCTTCATTTATTTTAGACGTAATAACATTATCACTGTGAGAGTGTTTATTATCTATATAGTGAATAAAAAAAGAGTAAACATATTTAGTATAGTTAAGGGTTTTATATGACTTTGATACTTGCTATTATTGTGGAGTAAACTATCTCCTTCGAAAATATATATTTTTTCGATATAATCAAACAATATATTTACCAAAAAAATCTAATTTATTAATATTTCTGATATAATATATATTTTTGATATAATAAACATTTCGATAAAATAAACATTTTCGATATAATATTGTATATTTTTGATATAATATATATTTTTCAATATATAATAAAATTTGTCCATCACTATAAAATCTGATGCATCTTTATTTCAGCTGAAGATTATTCATATATAATGGAATATCGTGATATAAAGCCAAGATATAAAATTCTAAAGGAATTGTTAGATAAATACAAAACATCATCAAAACGTATTTATCAAATCTGGAGAGGCGAAGAAGCTAAAAAAGTTACTTGGGATCAACCTATACCTCAATTTTTTAATGAAAATAATATAAACTTTAGTGAGATTAGTATGGTAATTTCTCCTGAGACAAATTCTAATTTACATTTTAATAAAGATGATACGATCAATACATTTCAGAATAAAGTCTCCCCTGAGATAGATTCTAATTTACATATTAATAAGATGATACTCAAAAATCTAGAAAAAAAAAAAAGAATGAAGTCAAAACTAACTCAAATTCCTTCTGCACATATTTCAGATACATATCAACCATTTAAAAAAGAAATAGAAGATGCTGAAAAAATATTATCACAATCCGGTTATAAAACTAATTCCACCTAATTATTTATTTTGAGATATATGTGAGAAGACAGGATTTAAGATTAGCTATGACTTTACTTGCAATATATATTTCTTTCACATATATCTCACAATTCATACATTTTTAATGTTTTATCTTCGTCTTCATCTGAAATTAAGGTATCACTATTTTGTACTGCAATTGCGCAATTTACTTCTAATTTATTTTTAACCTTATGCATGGTTACCGGAATAATAAAGTCCTTTCCATTAAGAGGAACTTTCAATTTATCCTCAATATATTGTGCATCTATGCTTTTTAATAAAGGGGCAACAACAAATTTTTCATGTAAATTACAACCTGGTTTAAATTTATAGAAACTTCAGGGGTTGTTCCAATCAATTCAGTTGGTACTGTGGTGGACCCACTTAAATCATATTTTTCACACTATTCAGCACCACTATCGAGAATAGCCACTGGAATTACTAACCGATTGGTTTTGCATTTTATGGTTGCAACACTTGGGGTGGTTCTCCATAGGATCATCCAAAGTTTCTTCTTCCCCTGGGATTATAGAAGCTGGTTCTCGATAATTTGTAAAATCTGTTTTTGTAACAGATAAATTTGTATTATTAATATTGTTTTTAACCGTTTCCATTTCCTCTGGATCATTAAACATTTCTAAAATAATTTATCGAATTTGTTTATCAATAATCGTACCTGAATTCTTTTGCGTTTTTTGCGAAGTCTTTCCGATTAACCCATGCACGATTAACTAGTACCACGTTAACACTCATGATCGACTCTGCATGCCATGTTTCTCTTTATTTTTGAGTAACGTGATGTAACTAAATATGTATAAGCGTCCTTATCTTGGACCCCCGGTTTAGGATATTATCATGGACCCCCAGTTCAGGATATTATCATGGACCCCTAGGGTTCAGATCTTAAATATTATTGGCTCATAACACATATTATCGCGAGAAA